GACCTCAACTTTACTATAAGGCTATAGTGAAGATTTTAAGAGATTTGATTAACCAATTCATTATAACAAAAGTATTTTATTATATTTGTTCAAAAAATTCATTATATTAAGAGTTCGTTATATTAAGAGTTGACTGTATATATTATATATAAATATTAATCTTTTTTATTATTTTTATTTTTAATAATATATATTATATAAATATTCTATAATTTTATTTCTTCAAATTTATTTATTTGAATTTCTGTGTAATTTTTTTCTATATTTATAGATTATTTTTATTTTTTCTATTTATTTTTTAGGCTTCTATTATTAACTTTTATTTTTTCTTTCTTTTAATAAATTATTTATTCTTTTTATTTAATATTAATTTATATATTTTCCTTTCTTATAACTTTAGTAATTAATTTCTTCCATTTAATTAGTTATTTTCTAATTATAATATTTTTATAAGTTTTCTCTTTTTATTCATAAAGTTATGTGATTTAGCATTTTACATTCTTTTACAATAATGGTTATAAATATCTAAGCACTTAAGATCATTTTAAATTATTATGTAATTACATCTCAAATAATTAGAAATATAATATAACATAATATATAGTTGTTAGTAAATTTATAAGTATTAATAATATATTTTAAAAAATTTAGATGATTATTAAACTTTCATTTGAAAAATAGAGTTTTTTTTAGAAAAATAATATAAAATTGTCTTTATATGAGTATTCAATTAGATCAAAGTTTAGTTTTAGATTTATTACTAAATAGATATATTGCAGTAAATTTACAGTTATTTATTGGGTTAAACGATACCATAAAAATCAGGATTTAAGTATTTCATATTAGCCTTGTGTAATAACTGTAAAATAAAATGATAAAATTATAAAGATAGCAAAAAAAAATATAATATAACAGCTATTCAAATACAAAAAAGAATAGAAGAAAGAGATATTGAACTTGGTGTAGAAATAGTAAAGTAATATCTTTATAAGTCTAAAAGAAAGTTTAATAATGAAATTTCCAAATTTTTGCTTAAAGAAGATCATCAAAAAAAGGTTGTAATAGATAAAAAAATATAAGAATTTTGATTAAAATGAATTGTTTTTACAAATGAAAATACATTTCAATTATATATATAAAAAAAGGTTTAGCAGTTATCAGTAGAAAAAAGTATTTTATTTTTTAAACATTCATTAAAAGTTCATATTTAGAAATATTTTCTACTTCTGAATTTAGTAAGTTATTTTATTTTCAGAAGAACCTTAATGCTAAATTTATATGTACTATTTATAAGCAAGCTCTTTTGGTTTCTATCTCTAAACTAGAAAATAATGATCTAAAACATTGATCAAAAATTATAAAAAAATGAAAAAAAAAATACATTGAGGTATTTTCTTGATCATAAATATCTCTAAAGATAAAAGCTCTATAAAAAATGTTTAAAGATTAATGAAAATTAATATATAAAAAAAATTTAATTATTAAAAGGTTAAAAAAGGAACTTACAAAAGAATATAAATATTTATCACCTGTAAATTTAATAGCTAGCATAAAAAGGCATACAGCTACACTTATAGAATTAGATAATGACTATATAATATATTAATTTTAGTTAGTTAGTTATATAATTTTTAAATAAAAAAATTTGAATTTGTTTACTTATAGTTAGAGATAGAATTAGTTGAATACTTATGATTGTTATTATAACTTTATAATATTTAAAAATTATAAAAAAATTAAAAGTATTAAAATAAAAGATTTTAATTATTTTTATAAATTTAATAGTTATAATAAATACAAAATAATTAGATAAAAAATAATTAATATATATTTGATAATTTTAGATTAAATATGATATTTAATTATAATTAAATTAAATTTTTGTTATTAACAAATTTAACAAATTATTAATCAAGATTAATAATTAAATATTATATAATTTTGTTATAGTATTTTAGATATAATTAAGAATCAGTTAAAACTAACATAGTAAAATATTATAAAATAGCATAATTAAATATTCTAAATATATTTATTATTATTTATACAAAAATTAATATTATATATAATAATAAAAATTAAATAAACTAATTTGATATAATATAAAATCTATTTTGATAATTAATTTTTATAATAGAATCTAATTAAGTTTAATTTAATATTATAAATAAAAAAATTTTAAATTTAATATTAGTATTATATAAAATAATTTTGATAATAATTTTTAATATTATTATAATTTATATTTTTTTTTCTTTTTTTATATTTTTTATATTTTTATAATTTTATATAATTGATTTTATATAAATATAGCTATAATTTTATAGTTATATAATATAAATATTATTGAATAATATTAAATATTTTATTTTTTGATTTCTTAAAATATTTATATATTATAGAATATTAATATAAAATAATATTTAATATTTTATTTAATTAAAATATAAAATTCTAATTTTAATATACAATGTGTAATGAAAAAATAGCGGTGACAAAAAGCAATATATCTCAAAAACTACCTATCCGATTTGAATGAATTTAAATTTATTTAAAAGCCGATCAATTCCTTTATTAGATAAAAAAATTTCAATATGATATTCTATCGCTGTTTTTTCTTAAACTATTTCACATCTAGTTTTCATAGACATAACCAAATTATTCACTGTTGATTGAGGAACTGCATCCCATTCTTCAACCAAAAATTTGGTCAACTCATTAATATTTTGAGGCATCCATTTTTCTACATTATTTTTGACGATCGTCCACATATTTTCAATAGGATTAAGATCCAGACTATTGGATAGCCAATCAATAGTACGAATCAAATTTTTGGCAATGAACTCCTTTGCAACACGTGAAGTGTGCTTCAGATCATTGTCTTGTTGCAGACGCCAATTTCTTCTATATATATTTCTTACAGCAGGTAGAAGCTAGTTCTGCAATATACTTACATAAAATGGCCTATCCATAATATTAGTAAAACAAAAGAGAGGTGTTTTTCCTTTTTTTGAAATCCCTCCCTATGCTATCACTTTTTGACAAGATTTTGGCAACCTCCGGATGGGTCTTTTGCCATTTTTATGTCATTGACTAACCTTATTTTGAAAAAGGTCAAATGCTGTCTCATCAGTGAATATTGTCTGATCTCAATTATCATTTAAATGTGCTTGTGCCTATGCTTTTCGTATTTCAATATGCCAATTTGTGAACATCAGAGTTGCTAATGGGACAAAACTTTCATATCCTTTTTTTTTCATATGTCTCCAGATGGATTCATATGAAATGGAAATATTATAGGTATTTTGTATTTTTACAGCAAGTTGATGAGTCGAAATTACAGTATTTTTGTGCACATGTTGCCCAATAGCCTGGGATATAATTTATGTAACCTTTGATTTCTGACCATTATTGCACTGATGATTGATATTACCTGTTTCTCTAAGCTTTTTAAGATTATGCTCAATAGTACAAAGGGGAATACCAGTTTTTTTTTGTATTTCCTTTGCTGAATTAATGCCATTAAGCCAGTAATGTCAAATTGTTTGTCTTTGAGCTTCTAATCTTGTATTAACCATTTTTGCAAAGAAAATAATATAAAAATAAACAAAAATAAACAAAAATTTACTTTTAAAAACGTGTTTTTCTAAATTTGAAAATATTAAATTAATGATTTATTTATGATCGACATTATAAATTTCTATGTTTTATTTGTAAAAAAATATTATTTTATCAACCGCCATTTTTTCGTTACACACTGTATGTGATTAATAAGTAATAAATTTTTAAAATGAAAAATTAACAAATTATATTACTAATCAAAATTTAAAATAAATTTGACTATTTTAGTTATAATCGATTATAATTAAAAATAATACTAAATTATAAGGATTATAGATATTTTTTAATATGTTTTTTAATAGCTTTAAGTTTTAGTATATTATAATTAAACTATTAATCATATTAAATATCTTTATTTAATTATTTATAGTATTTTAATATTTGATTTAAAAAAAAAATAATATTAAAAATTTTAATATTTAAATTATATATTATCCCTTAAATTATAGGTATAAAATTATTTTTAAAATATTTTAGAAAACTTAAAATATTTTGATAAAAAATTCTTTCTGCTGATCTTTATTTCCAATATGATTAAGAAAAATAGTGAAAACAACAATAACAACAAGTCTAATAAAACTTGCTCTTCTTTTTCAAATAATGATCAATAATAATGATCAGCAAAAAAACAGTTCCTTGAACCTTCTCAACCATCAGAAGCTTTGTCTTCAAAAAATATTCTAAAAAAAGACACGTCTGCTGACATGAAATTTGACTCAATCGCTTTTCTACTAAATGATAAAAGAAAAATGTCTGAAACTTTCTTATTCCCTTCTAATATAACTCCTATAAACATTGACTAGTTTTTTGATACTACTGAAAATAGTTTTGATACTAATAATAATAAAGTTAATAGTATTCATCTTGAGCGAGAAACAGATGCTTTCATTTACTTTACTTACTGCGTCGCAGAAAAATTTTTTTCACAAAAGACATTGAAAAAAGCAAAATGAGACATGTGACATCTTTACACTATATTATGCATCTTTCATTGGTGCTTTAGTACGTGCTAATTCTGATAACCCTAACAAAAAAATTGTTTGAATTAGTTTTATCTCGTGTAATAAAGCAAACAATGCAATCACCTTAAGCTACCTAATTTAGATAATGACACGTTCTCGTCTCTGATTACTAAACTAGCCAAAAAATTTGTTCTTGAGCTATCGATCAGAGTAATTGAGATCCCAATCTCTATAACAGAATCTAATTTACAATCTACCTTCTCCTTTTTTGACAAGATTGTTAAATATATCATGTTCACTAAAAACCTTTGGCAGTAAGTAACCATTATGTTTGAAGACAAAACTAATATGACTACTCTCAATAAATTTAATAGCTACTTCATACTAAAAGACTTCATTAGAATATATCTTTGCACTATGTCAAACAAAGATGTCAGAAAAAAATCTCAGTTCTCTTTTAAATTTACAAATCTACTGTTAGATACTAATGGACAACATTTTATATTAATCGGCAATGCAGTAAAAGCTATTGTATAGGTTATTTCTAAACCACATACTAATTATCAAAACCTTCAATACGCTATTTTCTATTTCAAAGACAAAAAAGCAATAGATGCAGCCAATAATAGTAAAACTTCTACCTTAATAGGAAGAAATTTATCTAGACGAATTTGAATGCAAACTTACGTTTTATCTGTCAGATCCCTGATCATCAATCACAAATTTTTTGCAAGAAAAGAATGATCCCTGAAGACTGCTAAACACAACAATTTTATCAAAGATTTTAATTCGCGCAATTTCACAATTATTGAGTTCTAATCGTTAAACCTAAGCCAATGTTATCCAATAAACTACATAAAATATTAATGATCAACCAAACAATAAATCACCAAAATATGACAATAGTCTAAATAAATTCATTATGACCCGTTAAACTGAGAAAGAAGGTCCAAAAAAACTAGTTGAAAAATCCAATCCTCCCTCTAAATCTCAATCCAATAAACCTAAGAATCCAATTAACTATAAAGATGAGAAAACTCTAGAAGCAAGTATCTACGCATATAGTTCTTAAGCAAATGATTATGAATATGATTACCATCAACTATATAATAATAACGGTCAACTAGTACAACCTGATATACTCTAATCAACTTAAAGCTATCGTAAACTAGCTAGCTAAAATGGACTGTGACATACACTTCACCATTGATCACGTTTTAGCTATTAAATCTGTTCTTAATATTACTACACTCTCACCTAACTAAGCTGACTTGCTCAATAAAGCTTATAATGAAGATGGTATAAAAACAGAAGAAAACACATTTACCACTAACCCTAACATCAAAGATAACATTGTTAAGAAACAAGTTGCTAAAATCGCCTACCTCAAAGAAGAAAATTCCTACTAATAATTAACTTAGAAAATAACTTTTTTAAACTCAATAATGCTAGTTAAGCAATAGCCTATATGCAATGTTTACTTCAGACCCAACTTAAAATCAGTCCTGATGCATTCATTGATATAGTTGAGATAGCTTCACTATCTAGCTATACTAAAGATGTTAATGGAGAGTTCATTCCACTTATTTCAAATACTTTTAATAATTGATAATAATAATAATGATTATAAAGCGAGCTCCAACAGCTCAAATGATCCAGAAAGTATTCAATCAAATAATAATTTGTCAATTAATTCTTCAACTATTTTATTGTCTCATATTAATATCGTAACATATAATATTCGTTCTCTTATCTAACTATATAAACAACAATCATTACTCAATTTATACAATTTTGACAATATAGATATTATTGGAATTCAAGAAACAAACTTTAAAATAAATAATGATATCATAAATTTCAACAAATCAACCTTTTTACAATTCATTTCTTTTTTTAACTTTGATAATACCATCTAATCAACTAGTACAGGTGTTAGATTGTTGATCAAAAAATAACTTGCTGATCACATTTACAAACACAATAGAAAATATGATCACATTATCTTCGTCGATTTTTAATTTTGTAACAAATTCAGAATTCGCCTTATCAACTGCTATATTTCAAGTTCAAATAAAATCTTGTAATATCAGATGTACAAAGATACCATCACGCTAATTGCTGAAGCAAGAAACCTCAACATAGAAGTCATTCTAATCAGAAATTTTAATGCAGTCACTAACAGATCCAGCAATATGTCTCATATGAACTTATTCTTCTCGCAACTTGATAAGTTATAACTATTTAATATATTTGACCTTCTTCATAACAATGCCAACTAATTTTTTCATCTTTCTTTCACTCAGCTAAATATCAACCGTTTAGAATAAATCACATGTATTGCTCATCGCTCATCACTGCTAGTATTAACACTACAAATATGACAGCCATTGACCCCTATATCTCAGACCATTTGATAGTTTTTACTAACATTAGCATAGCTAAAATTGATGTAACTATTAAATTGAAAAACTAAGTTATAAAAAAGTCATATATATATGACCAAATGGATAACAAATTTTGGAACAACTTCTCCAAACGAGTGAATGCTTTTGTTAATAGCTGCCAATTATCACACTTCACTTTTGATAACCTACATTTAAAGTAAGCTTTAAACTTCTTTTGGGATCTCATCTAAGGATGTATAATCAAAGCTGCTGACAAATGCATTTCAATTTGACACTCATCAGCCCATTCTAAAGATCTATTATCCTATTTATTAAAGAATATGTATAAATAACTAATTTACATTCAAAAATTATAACGCATTACAAAAAAGGACCTTCATACATCTTGGATTTCAAATAATTAAACAATATATTATCAAAAATTGGCTTTTCTAGTCACACAATATGAATTATCCTGGTCTATCATAATCTTTCCTATATTATATGATCTTATTCAAGTAAAGTCAATCTTAACAGATTTGAATAAAGTTCATATGATAGCCATTAAACTTAAAGAAGACAAATACAAATTTAAGTAAATTAAAGTAGCACTAAAATAACATTATAATAACTTTCGTGATGACCAATTAAAAATGTTTTATTCTTGATAGAAAACGCTAAATAATAGTATTTAATCGATGTCTAGATAACTCTATAAATGATTTTGGCCTTCTTACATCTACAGAAGAAGTAAAAAGAGAGACAAACAAACATTTTCAACAAACTACTAGTACACACCACCATTTTGTAGAACTTACTGATGAATGAAAACTCTAATACGAACCTCTCACTGATATAAACAGTTTAATTTATAACCACCTCATGAAACTATTAAGTGAAGATAAATGGTATAACCTTCTCAAATTATTACCAAATGACAAAGCTTCCAGTCCTTCCAAAATCTCCAATAAAATGCTTAAATATTTAGGTCTGAAAATAAATAAAATTTTATGAATACTAGTCTACATTTATCTAACTCTTTCCTATATGCCTAATCAATGAAATCTTGCTTTTGTATATCTGATTCCTAAACTCAAATTGTGGAAATATAACCTCAACAATACTTATCTTATTATATTATTAGAGTATCTACGCAAAGTATTAGTTAAATTAATTAACAAGTATCTCCTAGATATCTTGTCAAGATATAATGTTCTCAAAGATCACAACTTCGCCAGTTTACCATTTTGTTCTACCTTTGAACTGATACATATTTAGACAATATTAAATACAATCACCTTTCCAATAACAACAAACAGATCTGAATATTATTTCAGGATATATCTAAAGCTTATGATTATGTAAATCTAGCTATGCTTCTTTATATGCTTAATCATCTTAAACTTCCATATGCTTTCTTGAATTTTATAATTTCATTATTTTCAAATTATTTTAATCAGATTTTACTATGTATAGTAATACTGATTTATATCCTGTATTTTCAGGAATTAATCAAGAAGAAATTATTTTTACAATCTTATGATGTATATATTATGATTCTCTCTTATGTCATATCTAAAATACAATACTCAGTTATGACCTCACTGCAGAATGGCGTTCTAATGTTAATTCTTCAGCAACCTCCTTAGTATCAATAAATATTTTCATACTTGCTTATATAGATGATACACTATGAATCAGCAGTTCCAAAGAGGACTTAGAGTCAATCTTATCAATTGCAGATGACTTCTACAATCTTAATAGTATTTTTGTTAACTAGGACAAATCAGTCTTCCTGACTTTAATTCCTATCATTAATCCAATATATTTTAGGCTTATACATAATAAAGAATGGATTAAACTACTAAATCTTAAATCTTTAACTCATTACTTAGGCATTTGAATCTCATTATTACAAAATAGCTCTTTTATCTGTCAACAAATTTACAATGAGATTACTACTGCCACTCTGACTATGAAAAACAAATACATCACAGACAAATAATTCAAAATTATTTTTAACTCTATTCTGCTATCACATATCTTATGTCATTCACAATTGACCTTCTTTAATTATAAATTTTGCGATAGAATCATGAACACTTACAGGAAAATCTTTTGATTAATAATGAATATAACTAAACGTTATCTACTTTTCGCTATTTTATAATATAATCCATCTGTTTTCTGCTCAAATACAAGCAAAAATAGCTAAATTTACTAAAATAATTAACAATAAAGAACTATTGGGAATCACGACACTGATTCACAGCTAACATCTTTAAAATAATAAATGGCTAGTACAATTTTCACTTGCTGCATGGCCTTATGACTTATCCTACAAATTTAAAGACTGATGGTCTTTCCTTATATCAAATCTAAAGTCCTTTAAAATTACAATCGTAAATAGTCAAATGAATGATAACACCATTATTGAAGGATATGTTTCCCTAATAAATATATATGGTCTTACATTATATAAGAAGTTCACTGACAAATTAAGAAAGAAGAATCTTTTATTTATTAATCAGATAAACACTTCTGATGGATTAGCCCTTTTTACATTACCAGACTTTAAATATTCTTCAGCTGCACTCATTCTTCTTATACTACCAACCTGGTTTATCGAACTTTAAAATAAATTATTGCACAATAGTTCTAATAAAAACATTTCATCATAATTTCAACATCTAAATAACAACACAATTCAGATTAGACCACCTGTGCATATAAAAAGTACAACACATTTTTACAGTTAGTTAACACTTCCCTTTTAACTCAGTAATTATTAGCAAAGTACTTAAAATTGAATCCAACATAGTTCATATCTAACACTTCTACTTTCAAGTAGAAACTTCATGAAAAACAGTTCTCACTACATGCAATATTTGCTATATTAATAATAGTATTACTTTTATACTATCTAATATGAGGAATAAAAATCATTCATGCTTTGTCAAAATAGCATTTCCTTTATATTCATTTTTACATACATTATTCACTCGCAACATTGATTACTTATATTCCTTATCTTCTTACATAATTTTTGAAATAGCTCTTTTTAATTACAAAGTATTTGTAGACCTGTTCTTTAATATAGAACTCTCTTCTTCCTATAACACTATTGTTTCTTCTAATATATTTATTTCAGATATAGTAATACAATTAGACAATTTAGCAAACTTATTTTTACAAATAACTAACCTCTTATTTTATATTGATGGTT